CCCATTAGGAAAGGAGGGTATTCTATGGCTTGAGTGTTTGTACTCCTCTAAAATTCATATGTTGAAACTAAATCTCTAGTGTGATAATATCAAAGGTGACACCTTTGGCAAGGGACTAGTGCCCTTCTAAGAGAGGCCTGAGGGAGCTTGTTTACACTTTCCACTATATCAGGATTCATAGAAGGTGTCAGGATTCTATGAATAACCCCTCATCAGACACTAAATTTGCTAATGCCTTCATCTTGGAGTTCCCAGGCTCCAGAACTATGAGCAATACATTTCTGTCATTTGTAAATTACCAGTTTTAGGTATTTTATTATACACGTAGCTACTCCAATGGAGTAAGGACTAGAGAAAAGACTCCTCCTCCTCTGTTTGAACTATGTACATATGTATTCCTGCTAATAACTCATCTCAAACATGGCATTATAACCTCTAATTTTTTCTTTAGTGTTACTATTTTCCCCCTTTTGGGCACCAAGAGAGACCTTTAATTATGCAATTTGGTTACAAAGAAAAATTCCCAATAGCTAATTAGAGCAAAAACTGATTATTCGTTTTGATTTTCAGGTTGTTGCAAGACATGAAGATTTACTGGCACAAGCAACTGGGATTGAGTCTTTGGAAGGTATATTTCTATTAACTATTACAGATTACATAGACCAGGGACTGGCAAGCTTTTTAAGGGTCAGATAATAAATATATTTTAGACTTTGCCAGTCATACAACTTCTGTTGCAGCAGCTAAACTCTGTTGTTGTATAATGAAAATATGTAGATGTGGGGTAAGATAAGTTGATTTAGGTGCAGGGGTCCTCAAACTTTTTAAATAGGGGACTAGTTCACTGTCCTTCAGACCATTGGAGGGCTGGACTGCAGGCCCTGGGACGAGTCAGCTGCTAAGCAGGACAGGCAGCAGTGGCAAAAACACTCCGCAGGCCAGATAAATGTCCTAGGCAGGGCTCATGTGGCCTGCGGGCCTTAGTTTGAGGACGCCAGATTTAGGGTCTTTCTTGACTGAAGGCTGGCAGGTGTCATGTTATCTTAAATAACTATGATTAGGCAATATAACCTCATTCTTATGTAATTAGTGCTTGACTTGGAGCCACTGTTGTTTTGGCTGCTATATGAGGCTGTGTGTGGACTTCTACAGTAGCTCCTTGGCTGGCAGAGGCTGACTGAAGGGCACGCCACAGTTACCTTCCGCTCCTTGTCTTTTCTTTGGTTATCTCCGAATTTAATGCCATCATCTCTGGCCTCACCCTCTTGTGCTACACTGGAAAATATGCAAATGAATGTGTGCTTCTTTGTTCTAGTAAAACTTTGCTGAGCTAAACAATCTTGGTTAAATCTTGTTTTCCCATTTATTAGATGTGTGACTTTAGGCAAATTACTTAACTTTTCTGAGCCTCAGTTTTCCTGTCTGTAAAACAGAGGCATTCCTATGAACTAACATAACATAATCCTGAGAATTAAATAAGTTAGCAAAATGCTTAGAATGATGCCTACACATATTTAGTGCTTCTGTAAGTGGTAGTTATGAGTTAATTAAAATATCAACAATACCAGAGTGGTTCGTAGTGGATGTAAGCTTAAATTCTTTTCTTATTTTACCTTTTTTTAGGTCTTTTCTTTGCAACTCTTTTCAATGAAAGTTTAGTAGAATAACATATACATTGGATTTTCATTTTTATCAATCCTCTTATTTTCGTGTGGCTGAATCTTTTGTAAATTTTTTATTCTCTCTTGATTAAATTGAACTACATCTCATAAATATGAAATGTTACTATTGTGTTTTACATTATTACTTGTATTGTGATTACTGTTATTAATCATTGCATATAAAGGGAAGGCTAAATGGTTTTTACCTCTATTGATCATACGCTTAAGGAGGGAAGGATATTGTTTTCCGTGATGTGATATTCTTTAATGCTTCCCCCAGTATTTCTCATGCACTCCAAAGTATTAACTTACTCTCAGCATATATAATATTTCTAAGACATCTTGCTGAAGAACTTAGTGTTTTTAGAACTAACAGTTTGTTATTTGAAAGTCTGGCATATGTATCCAATTAGGTTCTTGGGAAAATTAGGAGGCTCTAAGTACTGAGGTATAAAAATGGAGTGTCTTTCTCTTGGAATTTTGAGGAATATTTATTAAGCCTATTTTATTAAAAAAGAGATATCCCTCATTCATTCGTTTACTCAATCAATCAAATAGTAACTGAGAACTTGTTACTCAACTACTTGTTGAGCAGGCATTTATGAGAAAAAGTCACTTATCAAATTTATGAATTTGTGTTCTAGGTAGGAAGAAAAATGTTCAAATAGAAAACTTCAGATATTTGTAAGCCCTACAAACAAAACAAAACACATGATGGGTTGGAGGAAGGGGAGTCCTTACCTATCTAAGATGGTCAGTTAAAGCCTTTTTGGGAAAATGACATTTAAAGCCGAGATCTAAATGATGAAAAGGAGCCGTCATGTGAAGATTTGGGGAGAAGAGTATTGTAAGCTTAGGAGACACTAAATGGAAAAGGTGGGATTAAGGTGGGCATGTTTGAGGAACATAAAGAAGTCTAGAATGGCTGGTGTTTAGTGAATGAGTGAGACTTAGGTGAGATTTAGAAAGGAATTTCGATTTCGTTCTAAATGCAATGGCAACATTGGCTTTTTTTTTTTTTTTTGAGATGGCGTCTCACTATGTCACCCTCAGTAGAGTGCTGTGGTGTCACAGCTCACAGTAAACTCAAACTCTTGGCTTAAACAATTCTCTTGCTTCAGCTTCCCAAGTAGCTGGGACTACAGGCACCCGCCACAATACCTGGCTATTTTTTTTTTTTGTTGTTGTTATTATTGTCATTGTTGTTTAGCAGGCCCTGGCTGGGTTCGAACTCACCAGCCCCAGTGTATGTGGCCGGTGCCCTAACCACTGAGCTACGGGCACTGAGCCAAGCCATTGTTTTTAATCAAGGTATCATATGATGAAATTAATACTTTAAATAGTTTAGTAGCACTATAGAAAGGCAGGCATGGAATCAGGGATACTGGTTTAGAAGCCATTAGAGTACTAGAATTTGATGGTGCCTTGGGGACTAGGGTAAAATGGAGGCAGAGCTAATAGGATTTGTTGATGGGAGATGAAGGAGCTGACCTAAGACAGCACAAGTGATTCCTAGAATTTTGGTCTGAGAAATTGGATAGATGATTATGGTAGGAATAACTGAGGTGAGATAGACTGAAGAGGATTATGAGTATTGATGGGTTGAGTGTGGGGCAGAAGTTATACAGTATTGGGCATCTTAAATTTGACATAACAGAGCCCAAGAAAAGGGAAAGAGGGAGGAAAGAAGGGTAGAAACAAGACCATAGATAGGCAGATAGAAAGAAAATCTTTCTGCGTAGATATATGTGTGAATGTATGTGTGTATAAAATTAGTGGTTATTGAACAGATAGTATTGAAAACATTGGCAGTGAATGAAATTCATGGAAGATTGTAGATTGAGGACAGAAGATAGTTGAGGATCAAGTTTTGGGGGTGCTCCAGTGTGTGGAGATCTAACAGAAGAGAAACAGAAGCAGCTAATGAGATAGAAGGAAACCCAGGAAGTGCGAGGATTTGGAAGCCTAGACGAAAATAATGTTTCATGGAGGGAGTGCTCAACTGTCATGAATTTCTAAGATTTTAAACAAGATATGAAGACAGAACTGACAATAGAATTTGGCAACTTTGAGATTTCTAGTGACCTTGAGAAGATCTGTTATAGCAGAGTATTGGTGAAAACCTATAATGAGTTGGGAGAATAAGGTTTAAGGAGATGGTAATAACCAGTAAGGGCAGTTCATTCTTTGAGTTTAGGATGAACAAACTGTAAAGCCAGCAGAAAAGTGGTAAACCTTGGGTCCAGAGGGGACTGTGTTGGACCGAGTCATGTTAATGCATACTTATATGCTGATAGAAATACTTACTGGTTCTAATGTTACTTTAGTTAATATATGACAACATGTCTATTCTTAAATTGATTTGGAATATTATGTTTTCAAAGCTATAACTATGCCAGTTGAATATAGAAATTGAGTTTTAAAGAGTGCAATTCAAAATAATTATCTGTAGTAATTAAAAGTCTAAATAATAAAATTTAAGATCTATCTTCTGAAAATGTTTTTACAATTTTGTAAAGTTTCTTCCTCATCTTGTAAACCTAGAGCATATAGGCAATAATATACCTGCTGTCTATGTTTATTATTTATATAGCACATAATTCATTAATTCAACAAATATTTATTGACTACTTTTGGAAGGATGCTAGGTTAGGCGCTGATTGATAATAGGAGGTTGGACAGTTAAGATTGCAAACTCATCCTAGAAAAAGTGCTGCATTGCTGAATATCACTATGGTTACCTTTGAAACACTTTTTCTAGGATAAATTTGTGAACTTAATTGTCACACTTTGCATGATGACATCTCTGATGACCATTCCAGAAACCAAGTTCCAAAGTTGCTTTGAAGGGTGGACTAGGTGCTGGCATTGGTGCATAGCTTCCCAAGGGGAGTATTTTGAAGGTGACTATAGTGATATTCAGCAAGGAGATATGTAGCACTTTTTCTAAAATGAGTTCATGAACTTAAATTTTCCTACCTCATATAGTAAGTGAATGAAAAGATACTTTCTCTAACATTGGGAATTTATAGTCTAGTGGGGGAGTAAAACATCAGATAGATATACAGGTGGATATGTAATTACCCAATATAATTAGTGCTATGAAGTAAAAGTATAGTGTTCTATAGAAGATAATAATGAGAGGCTAAATTAGTTGGGGAATCGGTTAGTAATTGTTTCTGTTAAGCCGAGGCTTGAAATATAGTAGGAGTTTATGCAGGAGGAACATGGGAATGGGGACAAAGATTGAACAGAGTACATTATTTGCAGATTGTGCCAGCCTTGGAGACCAAGCTGAGGACTATAGTTTTAATATAGGAGAGACAGGAGCAAAAGGGAGCTCATGGAAGATCATTCAGGCTTATTTTTGGTAATTGTGGTAAAATACACATAACATCAAATTCCCATTTTAAAATATACAGTTCAGTGGCATTAAGTATGCTTACAAATGTTTTGCAACCATTCCCACTATCTAGTTCCAGAACTTTTTCATCACCCCCAGTGGAAACCCATATTCATTAAGTAATCACTCCCCATTCCCTGTCAGGCTTCTTTGGTGGGGCAAAGATGGAGGGGAAGACTAGTTAATAGGCTTTTACATCAGAGAAAAGGTAGTGGTTGCTTGAATTAAGATGATGACAGAAAGAGTTAAAATTATGTGGTTTTTTTTTTAATTTAACTTTTTATTCAGTTTGACTCCTTATAAGCTGTTATGTTTTCCTAGGTGTTCTTCAGATGATGCAGACGAGAATTGGGGCCTTACAGGGAGCCGTTGACAGGTACTGTTATTTATTTTATAAATGAATGGAATAGAAATGTTTTTATCTATTGATATTTTAAAAATGAGTTTATTTTCCTTTTTCTCTCCTATAGGATGAAAGCAAAAATTGTCGAGCCATACAATAAAATAGTAGCCCGTACTGCACAACTAGCAAGACTTCAGGTAGATTCTCACTTTTATTTCTTTATATTTTATTTTTCATGATGTTTTTATAAGTGGGCAAATTTCAGGAGATGAGTTTGGAATAAATAACTAAGAGAATAGGAATAGAACAGAGGGCAGAAGAGGGACGAGTTTGGAGAGCTGAGAAGATAGACAAGGGAAACTTTGGAACGTCTTTGAAATTGATTAAGTGTCTGTGACCAAATTCTGATGGATATATAGAGAACACATGCTGATGATGTCTCAGGTGGAAATGAGGAACTTATTTGGAACTGGAGCATAACTGGTTCCCCTTTTTATGTCTTAGCGAAGAACTTGGCTACATTGAGTCTATGGCTCTGGACTTTATGGACAGCTGAATTTAAGAGTGATCTTAAGGCTATCTTGTGGAAAAAATTTCTAAGCAGTGAAGTGTTCAAGAAGTTGTGTGGCTGCTCTTCACAGCCTACAGTCAGATATGGGAGCAAAGAAACGATTTCAAGTTGGAATTCATAATTAAAAAGGAAGCAGAAAGTAAAAATCTGGAAAATTGTGGCCTGGTTACGTGGTAGAGAAGAAAAGAGTGTTTTTAGGCAAGGAATCCAAGAATGCAGCTGAGCAACCACGTGCTAGAGAGGTTAATGTGGATAAAAAGGAGCCGGGTGCTAATAGTCAGAAGGATGGGGAAAAGGTGCTGATAGCAGAGAAATCTTTATGGTCCCTCCCATCACAGGCCCAGAGGACTGGAAGGACAGAATGGTTGGGGGTGGGCGTTAGGCCCAGGGTATCACCATGGGAAGCTGCCTGCTGCTTTGGCTATGATCCTTTGGCTCCATCCCTGGCTGAAAAGACCCTTGATGATGCCTTGGGAGCTTATAGTCAGGTGGACTAGGTCTGCAAGTGCTGCAAAATGCAAGACTGGTGGAAGCTTCCACTTAGATTTCAGAGGATGTATCTGCAAGTCTGGGTACTGAGGGAGACTTGGCAGGGGCAGGGTCTCTGTAAAGAGCCCTACCAGGGCAGTGTTAAGTGGGATGGGGGAACTCCCACAGAGATTCTGCATAGCTGTGGGAGTAGGATGGTCACTTTCCAGACCCCAGAATTATAAAGCCATCAGCAGTGTGCACCCTTAGCCTAGAAAGGCCACAGGCACTGGACTCCAACCTGTGAAAGCAGACATCATGGCCTATGCCCAGCAAAACCTTAGGGGCAGGGCTGCTTGAGGCCTCAGGAGCCCACTCCTCACATCATTGCGCCCAGAATGCAGCATTCGTAATCAAGGGAGGTTATTTTGGAGCCTAAAGTTGACTTGAATGTCTGTCCTGCTGGGTTTCAGACTTGTGTGGGGTTTGTTGCCCCTCTCTTTTGACCAATTTCTCCCTTTTAGAAAGGAAATTTTACCTAATGTCTGTTCCATATATTGGAAATAAATAACTTGCTTTTGATTTTATGGGCTGATAGCTCTAGGGAACTTGCCTGGAGTCTCAGGTGAGACATTGGACTTTTGAGTTGGTGCTAGAACAAGTTAAAGTTTTGGTGACTACTGGGATGGAATGATTATATTTTGAATGTGAGAAAGACATGAGATTTAGGAGTGGAATGCTATGGTTTGGATATGATTTGTTTGGCCCTGCCAATTCTGATGTTGAAATTCGGTCCCCAGCATTGGAGGTGGCATGGTGAGAGGCCTTCTGGGAGCAGAATCTTCAGGAATGGCATGGTGCCATTCTTGCAGGAAAGAGTGAGTTCTTACTCTTAGCCACTGTCACTGGCTGAATGAATTCTCACTCTTAATTTCTGTGGGAACTGATTGTTGAAAAGAGTCTGGCACCTCTTTTTTGTCTCTTGCTTCATACTCTCACCGTGTGCCGGCCTCACGTTTGGGTCCTGTAGTGAGTGGAAGCAGGTTGAGGCCCTCACCAGATACAGAAGCAGGTTCTATACTTCTTAATACAACCTGCAGAACTGTGAACCAAATAAATCTCTTTTCCTTATAAAATTAACCCGTTTTAGGTATTCTTTTGTAGCAACACAAATGGACTAAGACAGAAGTATTCCCCCATCTATGATTTTTTGGCAAGGGTTTGAGGATTGGTATTAGTTCTTTAAATATTTGGCAGAATTAAGAGTAAAGCCTTCAAGTCTTGGGCTTTTCTTTGATGGGAGACTTTTTATTACTGACTCAATCTCCTTACTCATTATTGGTCTGTTCAGATTTTCTGTTTCTTTGTGATTCGGTATCGGTAGGTTTTATGTATCTAGAAATTTATCCCCATATTCTAAGTTCCAACTTACTTCTTTTTTAGTGTGGTACTGAAGACAGCAAAGAGGAAGGTGGAGGAGGAGGAGGAGGGAGGAGGAAAAATGGGAGCAGATTTTAGCCAGGAAAAACAGCTGATATTTCTGGCTTTTGAACTTTTTTAAAACTAAAGATAACTTTTAAATTAAGCTTACCCAAGTTTGTGCTTTAACCAAGGATGCATGAAGTGTCTGCAAAGATGTGGAAAGCAGTTTTCATAAGATCCAAAACAATCCACAAACAGCTCCGAGAAAGGAAAGTTTTGTTAGTCACAAATGGGGTATAACCAATATATTTGTCTATGTGTGTTCTCTAGGGTATCAGCTTCTCAGCTGAATATCTCTACCCACAAAGGCCCCAAAGCTTCCTGTGCCCCCCACAGACAGAAGCAGGCAAAAATCAGAACTGTCTAAGGAAAGGAAAGGGATCAGTAATAAATGAGTACCTATAAAAGTTAAAGAGTTACATGACAAACATGTCATGTAAACATGACAAACATGACAAACAAAAAGAGACTCATTCCTTGACTGGGAATGGAATCCAGGCTGCTGGAACAAAAGCACAACATTTTATTTTAGGACTGGGCTTGATTGCTCACACCTCTAATCATAGCACTCTGGTAGGCTGAGGCAGGAGAATTGCTTGGGCTCAGGAGCTTGAGACTAGCTTGAGCAAGAATGAGATCCTATCTCTACTAAAAATAGAAAATTAGCCAGGTGTCGTGGTGTGTGCTTGTAGTCCCAGCTATTGGGGAGGCGGAGGGAAGAAGATGGCTTGAGCCCAGGACTTTGAGGTTGCAGTGAGCTATGATGCCACCCCTGCACTAATGATGATGCCACTGCACTTTTACAGATGACTTTGTCTCAAGAAAAAGACAAAAAAACCCAAACCAAACAAAACCCCCCCCACACTGGGTTTTTTAACCACTAGAGAAGGAGGTTAACTGGCCTTTGTCATTATTTCTCTAGGAGTAGTTATTCCTTTAGGGGAGCATACAAATTATTTTATCTTTGTTTTAGGTCAGGTTTTTGTTCTTTAATTTTGCCATGAAAAATTTTAAGGCTAACTATGACATTATTTTGTGTCATCTTTACATAAATACAAACAAAGGAATTAATTTAGAGTGACTCAGACACCTTAGGGAACTTAGATAAAGGCTCCACTAACCGCCCTTTTGGGGTCTTCTGTTTTCCTCATGGAGTCTATAGAGTCATGACACATTCCTCTGAGACATAAAACCCTGCTTTCTAGTGTATTCACATTATCTCTTTGGCTTTTGGAGATACCTTTTATTTACAATTTCCACATATTTGTGAATTTTTCAAAATCTCTCCTGTTACTGATTTCTAGTTTCATACCATTGTGGTTGGAAATGATTGATGTGATTTCACTCGTCTTAAATTTGTTCTGACTTGTTTTGTGGCCTAACATGTGAGCTATCCTGGAGAACCTTCCACGTGCACTTACGAAAAATGTGTATTCTCCTACACATGTATGGAACGTTCTATATATATCTGTTTCATTTTTCTGGTCTGGAGTGTAGTTCAAATCTGTGGTTTCCTCCCTGATTTTCTGTCTAGATGATCTGTCCATTACTGAAAGTGTAATATTGGAGTTGCCTACTGTATTGTAGTTCAGATCTATTAATATTTGCATTATATATTTAGGCTCTTTGATGTTGGGTGCATGTATATTTACAATTGTTATAGCCACTCGAGGAGTTGATCTGTTTTATTATGATATAATGATTTTCTTTGTCTTTTTTTATAGTTTAAAAATTTTTATTTATAGAGATTGAGTCTTGCTATGTAGCTCACAAACTCCTGGCCTCACATAATTCTTCTGCCTTGGCTTCTCAAAGTGCTGAGATTGCAGACATGAGCCACCATGCCCTCAGTGTACTCAATACCTATATACTGGTATATATGTGGTATACCAATAGCAAAAGATGAATACAAATCATTTTGAGCACCTCTTGTAATTGTAAACGTCCAATGTGACTTGAGTATTACAAATTTCATACTTTTTGCCTTTCTTAAAAGGTATATCCATTTTGTGGGCACTTTCTGTTTCCTCCATTCACGGTAGTTAATGAGAGGAAAGGACTTACTATTATAATTTTGCTGTTTTTCTTTTTGGTTGTTCTCTTGCTTTTTTTCTCTCTTGCTGTCTTCCTTTGTGACCAGGTTATTTCTACAATAGTATACTTTGATTTCTTTATTTTTATCTTTTGTGTATCTATTATAGCTTTTTGCTTTTTGGTTACCATGAGCTTTATGTAAAACACATTATCAAGTATTATCAGGCTGATAGCAACTTAACTTCAATCACATGTGAAACTCTATATTTTTACTTTCTCTCACATTTTATGTTTTTGATGTCATAATTTACATCTTTTTATTTTGTGAATCCCAGAGAAACCTTATAGCAATGATTTTTAAAATGGTTTTGTTTTTTAACCTGCATATGAAAGACATAGTGATATTTATAGCACCATTTACAGTATTAGGGTATTTTGGATTTGACTTGTATACTTACTTTTACCAGTGAGTTTAGCCATGGAACACATTGATGTTTTTATGTTGCTGCATCCTTTTCTTTCACTTGAAAGAATTCCCTTTAGCATTTCTTATAAGGCGGAATATTTCTTTTTCATTTCTATTTCCTTTAATATGTCCTATAGATATTTCCATTTTTGTGCTTTCTGCATAGCTTTGCCTTC